ACTGGCGAGGCGGTCCGGGGTCCAACACCATGCCCGGCCCGCGAGGCGCGACGGCGAGCAGGAGATTCGGTCCCTCACAGCGGAGCCGGCTCTGGGGAGGCGGGACCGGAAGGGGCGGGGCGGGGCGGGGCGGAGACTTGGTCTATTCTTTTAAAAAAAAAAGAAAGAAATCTTAGCCGTCCTACTCACTGCTATCGAGCTGATTCCAACTGTAAGCAACCCTATAGGGTTCCCAAGACTGAATATTTACAGGAGCAGAGAGCATCATTTTTCTCATGCAGAGCATGTTGTGGGCTTGAATCACCAACCTGTGGTTAGCCACTCTGTGCTTGTTATCCCATTGTTATTTTAATTTGACTTTCTGCTGGCTAATGATGCCAAGCATCTTTTCATGTGTTTGGTGGTCATTTGGATGTCCTTAAGCTTCAGCCAAAGGTTATCTATTAAGAGATTTCCAGACCATGTTGCATACTGTCTATTCTGCACACCTCTTTTTTCAATATGCTGTCTTCTTCAAGACTCTTCTCATGTATATATCTCCCCCTGTAGGCTCCCTAGCCTGGGGAATGCAGATACAAAGGCTGTCTATGGATTGGTTTAAGAAACCATGGTGGTGGTAGTGGTGTGCCGTGGAGTCGATTCCAACTCATAGCAACCCTGTACAGGGTTTCTGAGGCTGTAAATCTTTATGGGATCAGAAAGCCTCTTCTTTCTCATGCGTAACAGCTGGTAGTTTTGAACTGCTGACCTTAAGGTTAGCAGCCCAAATTATAACCACTACGCTACGTGTCCTAAAATTATTTACCAATAAAATCTTAAAATTTTTATTGTGAATTGAGTGAAAGTTACAGGGCAGATCATTAGTTTTACGTTCAACAAATCTTACACTTTGTTTCATCTCAATGATTGTAATCCCCTCCATGCAACAAGAAGTTATCACACTTCCTCCCTGTGATTCCTATTTCTATTTCACCCACCTTCCCATCCATTCTCAATTTGGTCCTTAGGTAAATATTGTCTTTTTGATTTTGAATGTTTGACTATTCTGTCATTCATAGTGAGCATACCTTACTAGTGTTGTTGTCCCTACTATATACCTATCTAGTGCTTGGCTTTCCAGACCTGAAAGTTGGCCTCTTTCTGACCAGTAAAGGCCAGTATTTTTTATTTTCTTTTTAAAATAATTTTGAGTTTTGTTCCACATATTCTGCCGCTCTGCCCCGGATCTTCTAATGTGATCCTTTTTAGACCAGTTGGTAGTGGTAGCTGGGCACCATCTAGTACTTCTGGTCTCAGTTGTGCAGACTGATGTTTACATGCTCCATTAGTCTTCTGGACTAATTGATTCCAAGCCCCTTAAATTCTCATTGCTCTTCTTTCTTCTGCATGTGGATAGACCAATAGCTGAACCTCAGATGGCCACTCATGAACTTTAAAGATCCCAGGTGCTACTCCCCAAAGTAGGATGTAGAACATTGTCTTTGTGGACTATGTTATGCCAATTGACCATGGTGTCCCCTGAGACTAGTGTCCGGTGTTCACCAAGCCCAGGAACTCATTTCCATAAGATGTTTGATAATATCTAAGAAGTGTTCTTCATTTTGCCCACTTTATGCTTCACCACATATAGTTGTGTTTGTAGGAGAGGTTAATGCCCAGGTACCAATATCCTCTTTCAAAATCTCATAGATTCGTGGATATATATATATATATATATACAGAGAGAGAGAGAGAGAGAGTGAGAGTGAGTCCTGGTGTGGCGCTGCAGGATGAATGCACTGGACCACAAGGTTGGTTTGAACCTTAAGGTCAGCGGTTCAAACCTA